AAAATGGAGGGCTGACAAACTTGAGGTAGGCAGGGAAAACAGGGTCTTTGAGGGCACTTACTAATATAAGTAGGTTTGAGGATTTTTTAATTTATCTCAAAGGCAAGAATATTATCTGTTGAAATCTGAATTTTAATTACCTAATTATGTTTACCATTCTTACTGTTTAAACTGTCAGTGCTGGAATCCATGGTGTCCTTTTGTTTTGCAGAACACTACAGAAATAATGAAAATATTCATACTGCACAACTTAGCAGATGGTAAGAAAGTAGTAAATGTTTGTAGAACCAAAACCTAAAACACTCTTAGCTAGTTCATGAATCCATTTTTCTCCAAAACCAGACAAACAGTATAAAACCTCTGCAAAAATAATTGTTTCAAAATTGATTGCTAATAAGCTCATAACTGTCTAAATGAACTGAAACATGGATTCAAAACCATTTAGTTGTAATAAAAGGGAAACTAACACAATTGAAAACAAACTAATATTTTAGGTTGGAAATGAGATATTTTAGACATCATTTTGGCATCTCTTCACTGTTTTAGTGTAAGAAAGGGCAGCCTTTGTAAATAACCACTGATTAAAGTGGCTTGTTACTTAAATAGTATTCAAAGTAAGACACAATGAAGATGCCACAATGATGGAGTTCTCAATTAAATTACAACAAATTTAGCTGGTGTTATCACAGTTATAGAATTCTTTACACCATGATAAGATCAAAATAATTGATTGGTGTGCTATCTACTGAGAACCTGAACAGCACAAGAAAGTATGTATCTGAATGTTAACAGTATGCAGACAAGTGGCATTTACATAAAAATCCCCATCCACTGGCTATTTACCTTTGGAAGGACAGCATGTGATAGTTTGAACTGGCTTCACAGAAGCAAGTAAAGCAACCTTATTGACAAGGCATCTCACAATGGATATAATTTTGTAGCCCAGAGAATACTTTGAGGATAGATTTTGTTATCATAAATTTCAAAATACCAAGTACCATTCACTGTGTAGACATTCAAAAATTTTATTGAATTCCGCACACTTTCAAAGCTAGGATAAAGCTGAAAGGAAAATATGGAGCTGATATTTTTACACTTAACCTTTTTATCAGTGAAGCATTTGAGCTATGATAGGACACTTAAGTAGCACTGCCTATGATGTAAACTAGAGATTGAGAATTTTAGCAAATTACAATTTAGACTGATCCAAATCTGACATTGGCTTCATGTCCAAATCTCCAAAAAACACTTGCAAGAGTAAGTCAAATACTTGCATATAATTAAGAAACCCTAACTATGTTTTTATAAGCAGAAGTCCAAATTTGTATTATAAAGCCTACCTAAAACGTCAAGTCTTTCTAAAAGATACCACTCTATATATTCATAAAACTCTACACACTTCACAATCTATATATATATATTTATACCTGAAATATATAACAAAAATCAAACTGAAAACTTTATGAGGATTTATCACAGTATACATATTTATCTATTTTTAGAAAGTGACCTTATCAACACTGACCTTTGTGTAACAGTATTTCAAAGGCAGTCTGATGCAGAGGTATGGATGACAAAGTTGTGATCTAGATGACTAAGTTGTCACCTGTGTATGAAAGGCACTGCATAGGCTAAAAAAGACTACTACAGTTAATGAGAAGGCTGGTATGTGGTAGGAGCACCTTGAATTTCATGTTTGGAGTATATGTCTGTTCCTAGTAATGAAATTATTGTTTTCACCCAGAAGGAATTAGTTTAAGCTAAAAATCAGGAGTTACCTTAAATACAGAATCATCTTCCTTTTGGGTTAATAAGATCCATGTAGTGCTGGTCAAACCTCGTATAATAAAGTCCTAATGTGCTATATGCAACCTACTGACTCAACTCACATATTTCGTAGACATTAATAGAATCTATATTTTGGTACATATTTCTTTAAGATCTTAAGTTTTATGTGAATGCAGAAAAAAAGTCAGTAATATCCTCCAAATAGCTAAAGACTTTTGCAGTATTATATAGGTCACATTTATGAGAAGAAACGAATCTCTCTTTCCTCCATCTTATATAGCCAAAGGAGGCACCATAGGCGACAAAACGCAACACTTCAAATAACTTCCAAAAGCAGATGAAAGCTGAAGAAATCCAAAGAAAATGACTTCAATAACATAGGAGAATCTAGGACAGGTTAAATGTCTGTGTTTTAAATTAGACCAGTGGTTAACAAAACAATCATAGGATGTTGATATAAATCCTGTTTAAGCTTTGGATAGCAGCCTAGGCCTTGAAAGGTATGGGCACAAGCTGAAAGCAGAAGCTCCAGAACCTTAAACTAGTCACTAATAGCCAATTAAGGGTCAGTGAAAAAATAGCACAATCTCAAGCACTGGGAAAAGACTGCTCTTACATTAACAAAAGAAGCAGCAGCTAAGCAAGGGAAAAGTATCCAGCTGAAGGCACTGCTGTGGCCTGGGGAATTAACATCCCTCCCCCCCCCGAAGGATTTTGCATCCTGTAACCTAGAGATAGACAAGAGGGTCAGGAACTGTCTAGAAATTAAACCACTTTATAACAGAATAAGATCCCAAACTGTGAGTGTGGAAGGGAAGATGGTAGAGAAGACAAAACAATACCCACTTCAGTTCTAGCTTTCCTTGCAGAAGACCTATCAAGTTTCAACATGCCTTCTCAACTAAGACCATCATTGGTAGCCACCATTGCCAACTCTATATTATCAGCTCCATGGGATTTTATATTCACATCCAATTTAGGACACAGATGTTAAGGCTTTGAATATGTAGTGTTAGTGACACTAAAAAGTAATTTGTAGTGGCAGTGATAATGTCATTCAAGTAATAATTGAAATAATGTTTCTATAAATCCAGCATCTGATCCAGTCACCATATCATGAAAAGATACGCAGCAAAATTCAGTTACTCCACAGTCACAGTCCAAGTGAAAGTGTTTTGTTATTTTGATAGAGGGCGAACCTGGTTAGAAATTTGTCAGCAGGTCAGATATAAACATTTTGTCACTGATTTACAGATTCTAAATGAGAAAGAAGCTTGCAATGAACTAGTTCTGGCTAGGAAAACAAAAAGAATTAGTTTTTGAATATCTATGTTAGTCTTCCATTAGAATTGGAGCAACATTTGCCTCTTCAATTAAGAAATAGTTTTCATAAGCTTTTTTCACTGTCAGACTCAGAGTCTTCTAATAGACTTTAAAAATGATGTTGCAAACAAGCAAAAGAACCCTTACAAGAAGCTTTGCAGAACAAAAGCCCAACTAATCAGTGGCCAGCTTAGTGAATATAACATTCAAGACATTGGTGATCCTAACACCATCCTTTACCATTCCGCTGTTGTCTAGATTAATCATTCCAGACTGAACCTTAAGTGGCTGCTAACAAGAAAAGGAAAGCTCTTTCTGTAGACTTATATGATTTAATAAAACCAAGCTACTAAGAAACAAAGCAGCTATTTACTCAATGACCCAGCAGATCTGCAGATGACAAGTACATAGCTCCCTGCTGCATTAGCAGAAGCAGTAGGTTTAACTAGCAGAGGCTTACATACACATGTGGATTAATATATGTAAGTCTCTAACGTTGGCACCTGTATTCTGGAAAGCCTGAACATGACATTATTAAGAAAGGGACTTGAAAGAAACTTTAATTTTCCACAGAAAACTACTAAATTTCCACCCAAAGCACTATTAGTCATACAAATGTCTGAGAAAAGAATACCTAACCTCTTTTTAGACACTTCCAAATACACATGAATTCTTATCCTTTCCTAGTCTTCAGCATCCTTCACTATCTTCCATGGGCTTTAAAAAGATTGTCACAGATAGTTTAGTGATTGGGTTTTGAATTTACTTCTGAAGAATTGGTAATTCTGTGTTCAGAGAGCAGCTGCCTGATTTCCCAAATTAAGAGAAAGGTTTACTCTTGCACCTCAAAGCATGGATGTTCTTATGGAAATAAATTAAATACTTCTGGCCTGAAGAATCTCTGAAACTAAACACAGCTACTCTGTCTACTACTGAAACATGGAAGAGACACATAATGGTTTATTCCAAAGGTGCTGGCCAGGGTTTGAGTGGGGAACTGTTCAACAAGATCCGCTCAGAAAAAAATGAAAGCAGCTCATGAAAATTTACACAGTAAGTCATGTGTCATTCTGAAGGATTCCAGAAGCTCAGTCTGGGATAAAATGTAGCAGTATAGAGGATCATGAGATATCTTTCTTGTAACAAAGAATTCACAGTGTCTGCCTTCTCTTTTGGTACAAAAGACAACACAGCGTGAGGAACTTTAAAAATGTATGGCTGGGGTTGCTTTTTAGAAAGGTGCTTCAATAGGGACCTACTGAAATAACAATCAACATGAAAAGCTGCTTTATTATGAAGGTGACAGAACATTGCAATAGGTTGCTCAGGGAGGTTGTCCAAGGAGTCTCCTTCCCTGAAGTTATGCAAGAGCTGTCTGGACACTACCCTGAGCAGTGTGCTCTAGGTAACCCTGCTTGAACAGGGACATTGGACTAAATGACACCCATTGGTCCCTTCCAACCTCAACCATTTTGTGACATATTTAAAATTAAAATCTTAAGAATACTTCAGGAAGGGCTTATTCTCATAAAATAACAAAAATGAATATGTAACTTCAGATAAAAGAAAGAAAATAGCTTTGTGATTTGGAACATGTGTTTTCAGGTAACGAAAGGGGTCTGAGCATAATTAAACTTATACTTGTCACACAAGGTTCAATATATACTAATAGAAAAATACAAAGCAGCATTACAAGTTCTAATTCATGAAAACAGGTAATTAGAGAAGCTCATTAACAAAATAAAATTTAAGGACCTCTTTGCCGTAAACTTTAATACGTGAAATTGTTCATTTATTCCGTCTTTTCTCATAGTATGGTCAGATAATGAAAAAATAGCAGCTTTATTTTCAGCAAATGCTTGGTAAAATGGGTTTTCTATGTTACTTACCTGTTTTCATTTCTAATAAGCTTTTTTTCTTTTGTTGCCTCTCTTGCTTTTCTTTTTCTGCTTTTTCCTTAGCTATTTTAGCACGCCTCTGTTTTTCTTCTGCTTCTCTCCTTCTCATATTTTCCTTTACTGCTTGCTATGAAAAAGAAAGTTCCATTAAAACTGAAGTCTTATCAAAAACAAAGCTGAACCTTAAAAACAAAGAAAAAAGCTTTAAAATCACATCTCCTGACTACTAACCTTAATTTCTCAAGGCAAATAAATATTTTACATTCCATATTTAGTGCATTTTATTCAAAAAAGTAAGCTAATTCAGAATAAATACCTTAAAAGCATACTAATAGCCCCCAAATGGGGATTAAAAATTCAGCAAGAAATGCATCTTAAGAATACACACATTAATGGAGAACAATTCAAAATATCTAAACCACTTGGTTTTACAAAACTGTTACTGTTTGTATTTCTAGAATAGTTTCAACATTTATTCTTTCTCATGCTGCCACTATACCAAGTAAAACAAGGCTGCTTGGGTAACTTTAGCTGTGCTTTGTTCTTATCTTATCCACATATGCACTAATTCACTGGTCTTATAAATTTTTGTCTTCAGGTTAATACCATATACCATAGTTTATTTTGAATTATAAATAAGTACTCCATAACTTCCAATGAAGCCCAAAAGAAACCAGGGTTTTTAAATCATTATTTTGCATATTCAGGCATTAAATAAGAAACTGTCACATTCAATACTTTAACAAAGCTATTTTAGGATTATTTTTTCATTATTTCAGTGTTAACTATTTTCACTGGCAAATTCTTAGTGCTCTCCAGGGCCTTCTATTAAATGTGAAGTGCCAGGCACCTATTCTTCATTGCAGAAAGTTTATCTTTTCAGAACGCAGTTACACACAAATTCTCGTCCTTCAAAATAGATCAAAGTATCCCCCCCCTACACAATGGCTAACATCTTCACAAGGTCTGAGGCAGAGGCTCCCTGTTGGCAGGGATATGTAATGTCTCATGTCGGTTCTAGTGGGAAAATGCCCAGTCTGCCCCTAGGAAAAAAAAAAAAAAAAGTAAAACAGGATTAAAGAGTACTATAAAGCACAGATTGAGGATTACTGCAATATATGCACGGGCACCGTTTGTAGCATCACTGCAATAGACAGTGAACAAAGGAAAGGAAAAAATATCTTGTGAGGAAATACCTGCCTTTAATAACCAAACAATAAGCTTTCAATCATGAAAAATGAGAATGAAATGGACTTTTTAAACAAAGCAAAGCTGTACTTCCACAGCGTCTTCTCCAGAGTCACCTCTGTCAATTTTCTTGACACTAGGGGAGGAGGGGAGAAGCCTGCTACAAACTGCTAAAATTCTGAATTGAATTAATTTTAAGAAATTACTTGCTGATTTTCAGACTGGGCATTCTGTAAACTGCTAGGCAAAACTCAAATGGGACTTGAGCACAAGTACAAATTTGACTGAGATGACACACTTTCCTAACAGAGTTGACAAGGAAATTTCTAACATTGCTTATATACTTTTCCCCAAAAAAATTATAGCAGGAGGACTCAGCCACAGACTGCAGTCATCCAAATGTAGATGTCTATTTATTTCTAATCACACTTATTAACTGGGCTTAACTTAGCAGGTCACACCTTCATATTCAACACTTTGAAGTATCACACCTTGCCTCCAGCCTTTCTCTAGCAGGACACTGGTCTTCATAAGTTCTATGTCATAACTTAAAATTTCATGATGATGATGTCTTGGATACTGTTTAAGACACCTCCGCAGGATACTAGGCACTTCTCTTATTAGATCTCCTTTAAGTCACTGTGTAGATACTTCCCCCAAATTCTGCTAACTGTACTGAGTATGTATTAACTTGACTGTAACACGAGATTGGACATCCAAGCTCACATTCAGATGCCAATATTTAGAGGTCTATGCCCTAGAGCCAAATCTACATGGTTCTTTGTGTTTTCAACAACAACAACAAAAAAAGGTGTATAAAGTTCTGCAAAATGCTTATATCACAAATTGTCAAAAAATTTACTAAGATGAACACATACTTGTCTCTCATGCTGTTTGCACTTCAAAGATTAAATGTCTTAACACTTCCCTGCTCAAAAGGCCTAAAGAGTTTGACATGGTCTGTGCCCTAGATTTGGTGCTCACAGAGTGTGAGTAGCTGTCACAGTCACCAAACAACACTGAAATACGAAGTGCCCACCAAAGTTAAGTACAGAGCAAACATCAAAGAATCTGAAGTCTGTGGCTCTATATTTAAACATGTTTTTTTAAACATTTTAAACATTTTCATTAATTGAGAACAAAAAAAACCCCACATTATAAGGAGGTAAGTACTGTACACAAATTATCAACTTTGCTTGACAATGGGGATGACTGAACTTCACTTTCCCCACACCTACTTGTGACTTAAGTAGTCTTTTAGTTTTGGACTTTTTAAGAAGCCAATGATTTTTCAGCACTAAGTTTAAAATGATTTTGAGCTAATTTTTCTATAATGCCAACCACCTTCAGTTTCTGACAGTAATCAAGACCAATGCTAAACAATTATGAAAATCAGACCTTAGGTGTCTCACACTAGACGTCTCAAAAATCTTTTCCAAAAAGTCTCAAAACTGAGCAGCTACTCAATATTTTATTTAGTGTCATTGAATGATAAGGGGTTTCATGCCTTATCTACACATCTTTTTCATACAGCCTTCAAACTGTGCGCTGCAAGACAGAATTATTAATTTTCCTCTAGGTTTCTTCTATCATGCTCATCAATAATATCTAACTGTTTTGAAGCATTAATTAATCTGCTTTTATAATGTTGCTGCAAAGCAGAGGTTAGTATCAGTGATGATTTTACAGACACAGAAAAAAAAATATGGGAGTTTTCAATTTAGGATGAACCTAAGCATTTAGAATTCTTATTCTGCAGTGTTTAAATAGGAGGTATGGTTTAACCATCAGAAAATTAAAGTAATATAACTATTTCATAATATTTAGCAATTTTGAAATCAGATTTCTGAGTTTCATTTTAGGCACTGACCAAGTTAGGAAAGTTATCACGCTCATATTGAAAAATCTGGCATGCACAACTTGCCAAACATAATTATTCTCATGAAAGACTGTGCCTTCTAGGTTTTCAGTTGTTAAACTGTAAAGTTGCAGAGGCCTGGTGAGCTTTACATGTTCCAATGTTTGCTACATATGGGTTCCATTTTAAGCCCTATCCTCAAAATTAAGTCCTTTCCCTTTCCTTTCTGATGAAATCAGATTTTCAAACCCTTTCTCAGTATCTACAAAAAGTATTTTTCCCCCATCTACATCCACAAATATTTTTGAGAATATTAAAAAAAAAACAACCATCCAAGCAAGACCAAACAAGACTAGGGAACATGCAAGCAACTTAAGTGTGTTGCAACAATAAGTGTCAGGTGCAAGGAGTGGATGGTAAAATGAGTAATTGAATCTTTCTACAGATCAATAGGCATGAGTTAGATCACTGCTCCAGATTTTGTCACAAAGTTCATAATTGGATAACCTTCCTGCAGGAGTGTAGCCAGCAAGTTAAGCTATGCAGTCATAAGTAGCCAGATGTGACATAAGCCACCTTTTCCAAGTTATCGAAATTAATAAATTCATACATAATTGGGGACCTGCCTTTTTACTCTTCCATTTCTTGAGAAAGAGTTGCTTACCAGCCAAGTGTTCACAATCCAAGAGAAAAAACCTATTTTTTGCAAGGAAAGCTTAAAAGAAACAAACCAAAATCAGTCACAACCTCCACACAAAATCAGCTTCTCCCTGCTCCCCCTAACACTACCAATCTGAATGTAGTCCTCAGTCACCAAGACAGTAACCCCTACTAATCCTAAATAAGAGCTCTAGAAAAGTATTTTGAATTTATATAGACATCAGCTTTCCCTGATTTGCTTGTGTTTGGTTATTTTAAATCGATGTATATAGCAGGCTTGAGTATGTATTCTGAAGTACATCAAGCTAATCATTCTTCTTCCAGAACTACATTGACAGTGGCAAAAGAACCTGCAATATTTTGGAGACCATCTGATTATCCTAAAATTTGCCAAGATGACTGTTCATGGTCATACAGAATCAGCTCCAAGAATATAAAGAAACACCCTGTTGAGAAATTTCTACCTTACTTTTCAGAAACGTCTTTTGTTAAAACCTTTAAATCACATTTTGGTAGGGAAAAAACCTAACCAAACCAAACCAAACCAAACCAAACCAAACCAAACCAAACCAAACCATCACATCTCCCTTGGTCCCCCAAATAGAAGAACAAACAAAAAAGACAACAAAAAAACCCAGAGAGTCTGAACTATGGTTTAAATTATGTTCTAAGTTCTATAGAAAAGGAGCAACACAACAATAACTTGGATTAGGTCAATAACCGGGATCATCAACTTGGATGGGGCCTCGAGCAACCTGGTCTAGTGGAAGGTGTCCCTGCCCATAGCAAGAGGGTTGGAACTAGATGATCTTTATGGTCCCTTCCAAACCAAACCATTCTATGATTCTATTATCAATCTAATGTCTGTTTCTCAAATGTAATTCAAATATTTCAAAAATAACAAAGTAATAAGTCTTAGCCCTTTGACCCGAAGATCACCCTTTTAAAGGGAAAAGACAAATGTAAGCATTTAAGATGCATAAAACAAAGTCCTAGAAAATCTACTGTCACAAAAATTTAAGGTCGTTACAAAGAGAGTCTGAGGAAAATACGCTATTTTTTTTAAGCCAGGCTAAGGAGCTCTGAGTTTCAATAGCAGGGATCCTGCTTACAAATGCAAACCTCAGCACTGATCAAATGAAAAATTAAACAAAATAAAATCACAAGTCTGGATTTTGCATGGGAAGAACATGCATTATAAATATAGAATTACTGTTAGAATATTTGTTGTTATGTAAATAAATTTCGTTTTAAGTAAATCACAAGCATCCTTCAAACAGAAAATGCAGCTGTATTGAAAAATAGTAGAGTTTCATGTTTTTTCACTTCAGGTTATATATGCATACAAGAGGTTCAGTTTTAAATTACCTTCATTGTTGTTAGGAATTTGTAATTATTTCAGAAATGAAATAATTCACAAATAATAATTCAATACTCCATTATGTTTAGGATATCTTAAAAGTTTAGGATGTGCCAAGTAAAATTTCTGATAAGAGTATCAGGTACCATTTAAGGAGGAAGAAAATAATTTTTAGATTGTTCAGTAACTGAAAGATTACAGAAATAATTTCTAAGAAACATCAGGCATAAAATAAACAGACTATACCATGAACATTGTCCGGAAGTTGTTTAAGTCCGTTAAAAACTCCTCCACTGAAACTTTTTTCAGATCAATGGCATAATATCCCATCACGTTCTGATAAAGCTTTTCCATGTTCTCATGCATCCGTGAAAGTTTCTGAAAATCTTCTGTGGCATGAACCAGAAAGCTGTACACTGCTGTTAAGGCTGCAAGAATACTCAGTGAATCCAGTTAACCCCACAGATTTTACTTAACATTGATCTATATTTCATACACATTTTTCACTTGCAACTATTGGAAGTATCAAAAAGAATTACTTCAACATCATACACACTTCCTAGTATTCATTGTGTATATTATGCCTATGAATAAACCAAATTTCATCAAATCTTCTCAATTCTCTAAAATTTAAGGATTACTTCATTGTCATATTATTTTGTATGAAATGAAATGTATGGGACTAATCTAACTTCAAGCACCTATGTAGCTTAATTAGCACCACTGTCTTCTTATTGAAGCTAAAGTTTTAGGTATATCAATTACTGTTTATATGGAATTTAGGTATGGGTACCACTAACTAACCTGAATACATTAATATATCAAGAAATAGTATAGTTCCTACTGAAATTAGAGTAAAAATAGAAATATTGATAACAGTGTTCAAGATAAAAACTTAATAGCTTTTTTTTTTTTTTTTTTAAATGCTGTTGTAGCAACAGCAATATACTGCTTCCTGTTCCTGGTGGCTGCATCAGGTATTTATGCTTTTTCTAAGGCTATTTGCAATGTCAATACAACTTCATTAAATTACAGGTGTAAACAATAGAACTACTTCCACAAGAGATAGACAATTCATAAACAGCACCAATATACTGCATAACACAAATGAAATAACCCCCCTATGTTTATTCAAGACTTTTGATAATAGTTTGTCAAAGAAGCTCAACGAAGAAATATTGTGTGCAATCATTTCCTTATGTAGGACAACATCGTAAGGTGTTTACTTTAATGGAATGGTAGCTAAACAAATATTTATGTTCCATTATTTTGCTGCTGCAGGAAAGACTACGAAGGACAAAAAATGGCAATTTTACCTTTACTCCCAATTGCCCACCCAACTATTGCAAAAGAGAATTTACTGCATTTGTATACTTTATACTAGATACATACGGTATTGTCCCTTTATTTTATGAAGCACAGGATTTTTAATCAAGTGCATTAAAATTGAGACAATACAGAATTTTTGTCCTCCGTGCTGTGTTTAATACACAGTAACAACTTACTGCTGAGTGACTGCTTCCACTCTTAAGGTTTTTTATGATGCACACTTCTTCTAGTTTTATTTAGAGGCTGAGTCCCATTTGAATTTCACTATTAAATGTCCTTCTGGTTGTTAATATTGATCTTAAAATACCAAGCATTTAATAGTTTTCTTTTTGTTATTTAGAATCCATGCCAGTGTCATATGATAATGTTCTCAGACACGTACAGGAAAGGAAAAATTTCACAGCGTTCAAATTAGCCACTGTGATGGGTATTAGCTAGGCCTGTAAGGGTAGAACAGTCTCCACTATGTCAGACTTGCAGAAAACGACTAACTGAAGCCTAGATTTCAGTGATTTTAAATGATACCTCTTCAATCATCCCCCCAACAACTTCATTTCAGGCTTTCTCTGACAAGCCTCTTTAGCCAGTGTGAGCTTATTTCCATGTTTCTATTAACTTCACAAGTTGCAGTTTTTGAGAAGCTTCAGACTGCCTGTGCTGACTGGCTAGCAACAGCTCAAAGAGAACTGATGCTGTTGGCCTATGTTTTCTTCCCATATCCGTTGAATCTTTCTCCTTAACAAAGCTGCAAAAATGTACAAAGCTTACAAGAATCTACTCTTCAGAGCTGAGTTTCAGGAAAATTATTAAGGATGTTAAAAAGCTATTGGTGGGACAGCAAAGGAAGTTGATGAGAGATTAGTATGTAACAGCTGCCCAAATATTAAACAAAAAGAAAGGATTCTGAGAAACAAGACATGACAAAACACAAGTTAAGACCATGAAAAGAAATGTCAGCAGTTCGAAAGAACCCAAACAAACCAAACCAACAAATTACTATAATAAAGGAAAACAGTAAAAATTAATGATGATAGAAACTAGAAACAAGCATTTGCACATCCTGTTTATTTTTGATTTAGGATACTTACTATTTGTGATTCTTAGATCATTAACATAACTTTTTTTTTTTGCAATTATGAGGCTGTTTATTTCCACAGAGTGGAAGGGTAAAGGCAAATAAGGTAAATTTGTTTTATTGGCACTATGTATGAATGTCATACATCAAATGGTCAAGTAACTTTCCTCAGTTTTCTGGGAAGAAAAAACTGAGTGGGGGGAGAGTTAAAATTATCAATAAGATTCATATTTCATCTTGTAAATTAATGATATGCCAAGAGTATATACTGACATGGAAACTCAGGTGGAGAGGCGAGAGAGACAAAACTTCTGTGATATACTGCACGACATCGCTAAATTTACAGGTATGTTAATAGAGTCCACATAGGCTGCTTAGTTTATGCTGTTAAAGCTGATTCCCCTTGTATATGTGATGCATAATTTTAAACTTAAAAACAGCAGTCTGGGAAGATGTTTTACTATCCGGTATTTCAATGCCAGACATGATGAATCGTGAGATTTTTATTTTCCATCTGGTGCATTATGGGATACCCTAAGCTCTTGGCATTCTACTGAGACTATGTTTCAATTTAAGTATTTTAAGTATGTCCTCTGCCTTTTTCCCTTTAATATAGCTTTTGTTAGCCAGCGCTAGCTAAACTGGAGACAACAGGGAAAACTACTGAGTACAGCACTCCCAGCTGTCATGATTACGAACAGGTTGATATATATGCATTATCAGCTACATAATTCATTGGCTGTGCATGAATGAAGACAGAAGTACAGCAGAGCTGCAACACAGGTGGGAGGAAAGGAAATCAAGAAGTTTGGTATTTCTTAACTTTTTCTAAAGCAGCTTCACTTCACAGACTGCCTTTTCGGACTCATGGGACTACAGATCATCACTCTGCTCATTAATAGAACAGGAAAGCAATGCAGGGCTGAGATGAGCAATATCTGTGGCAAAATTTCATACAAGGCAGAGTAAAACAATGTAAAAGCAGCTGTTACCCTAGAAGAAGTGGATAAAGACCTGGCTGGATGCTGCATGCAAAGAGTTGTGGTCAATGGCTCAATGTCCGGCTGGAGACCAGTAACGAGTGGTGTCCCTCAGGAATCTGCCTAACAATCAAAAGAGTAAGGCTACAGAATTCCCTCCCTGAGCCATATTATCCTTGTGGAAAAAAATACAATTATATGTTCCCGCATGACATCCTTGTCTCTGAATTGGAGAGAGATCAATTTGATAGATGGACCACTCAGTGGATAAAGAAATGGCTGGATGGCCACACGCAAGGAGTTGTGGTCAATGGCTCAATGTCCAGCTGGAGACCAGTAATGAGTGGTGTCCCTCAGGGATCGGTGTTGGGACCGGTCTTGTTCAACATCTTTGGCGCTGACATGGACAGTGGGATTGAGTGCACCCTCAGCAAGTTTGCCGATGACACCAAGCTGTGTGGTTCGGTCGATATGGTGGACGGAAGGAATGCCATCCAGAGGGAACTTGACACGCTTGTGAGGTGGGCTGATGCCAACCTCAGGAAGTTTAACCATGCCAAGTGCAAGGTCCTACACCTGGGTCGGAGCAATCCCAGGCACAGCTACAGGCTGGGCAGAGAAGAGATTCAGAGCAGCCCTGCAGGGAAGGACGTGGGGGTGTTGGTTGATGAGAAAATGAACATGAGCCGGCTTCAGTGTGTGCTCGCAGCCCAGAAAGCCAACCATATCCTGGGCTGCATCAAAAGGAGCTTGACCAGCAGCTTGAAGGAGGTGATCCTGCCCCTCTACTCTGCTCTCCTGAGACCTCACCTGGAGTATTGTGTGCAGTTCTGGTGTCCTCAACATCAAAAGGGCATGGAACTGTTGGAACAAGTCCAGAGGAGGGCCACAAGGATGATCAGGGGACTGGAGCACCTCCCGTATGAAGGAAGGCTGAGAAAGTTGGAGCCTGGAGAAGAGAAGGCTGCGTGGAGACCTCACAGCAGCCTTCCAGTATCTGAAGGGGGCCTATAGGGATGCTGGGGAGGGACTCTTCATTAGGGACTGTAGTGACAAGACAAGGGGTAATGGGCTAAAACTTAAACAGGGGAAGTTTAGATTGGATATAAGGAAGAAATTCTTTACTGTGAGGGTGGTGAGGCACTGGAATGGGTTGCCCAAGGAAGCTGTGAATGCTCCATCCCTGGCAGTGTTCAAGGCCAGGCTGGACAGAGCCTTGGGGGACATGGTTTAGTGGGAGGTGCCCCTGCCGATGGCAGGCGGGTTGGAACTAGATGATCTGAAGGTCCTTTCCAACCCTAAATATTCTACGATTCTATGATTCTAAGAGATAATGAATGACATAAATCTACAACAAACATTTCCTTAAAGAACCCATATTCACCACTTGTGATTTTTTCAGAAGCTAATCTATTCATGCAGTGTAAACAACTAAAATAATATCAATCTGCATAAGAACAAAAGATTATGATGTTATTAAAAGATTAACATATGCGTAGATATTGCATATATTTTAGCAGAATCTTCAAAATGGAACAGAGACTGCCATCACAGTAGCAAACAACAGCTTCCGTAAGAACACGGCAAATAGACACCACCATGCTGGGTGAGAGTGTTTATATGCTGGAGGATAAGAAGTCTCTACAGAGGGATCTAGACAGGCTGGATTGATGGGATGTGGCCAATGTTATGAGGTTCAACAAGGCAAAGTGCCGAGTCCTGCATTTAGGCCATAACAACCCCATGCAACACTACAGGCTTGGGGAAGAGCGGCTGGAAAGCTGCTCAGTGGAAAAAGGACCTGAGGGTGCTGACTGATGGCCACTGAACATGAGCCAGCTTGTGCCCAGGCAGCCAAGAAGGCCAACGGCATGCTGGAATGTATCAGCAGTAGTGTGGCCAGCAGCACCAGGGAAGTGAATATTGCTCTGTACTCAGCGCTGGTGAGGCTGCACCTCGAATCCTGTGTTCAGTTCTGGTCCCCTCACAAGAAAAAAATTCAGGTGCTGGAGTGGGTCCAGAAATGA